GCAGGAGGAGACGGCAGCGGGACACGCTGAGGAGCAGTGGAGGGACGCAGAGTCATGTAGTGAGTGCCAGGGACAGGAGGAGGACGCTCACGTGGGACACGACGACCAGTGCGAGCAGTACGAACAGGCGACGCAGGACGAGACTCAGGCTCACGACGCTCTGTAAGACCTCCTGTGGGACCAGCGTAAGGGGAGGGAGCAGGGAGAGGCGAGGCAGGTGGTAACTGTGACTGCGGCTGGACAGGCAGAGGACACTCGACGGAGGGAGGAGGACTAGGAGGAGGAGCCTGACCAAGAACCTGCTGAAGGAGCGGTACGAAGTACGGTCGCGGCCGCGCAGCGTCTCCAGAAGCAGCAGGGACACCAGTGGCAGCCCCAACGCCCGAGTCCTCAGCACCAGCAGCAGCTCCAACGCCCGGGTCCTCAGCACCAGTAGGAGCTCCAACGCCCGAGTCCTCAGCACCAGCAGCAGCGCCACCGGTCGGGTCCTCAGCACCAGCAGCAGCTCCAACGCCCGGGTCCTCAGCACCAGCAGTAGGGCCACTGGTCAGGTCCTCAGCACCAGCAGCAGCGCCACCGGTCGGGTCCTCAGCACCAGCAGCAGCTCCAACGCCCGGGTCCTCAGCACCAGCAGCAGCTCCAGCCCCCGGGTCCTCAGCACCAGCAGCAGCTCCAGCGTCCGGGTCCTCAGCACCAGCAACAGCACCACCGCTCGGGTCCGCAGCACCAGGAGCACCACTACGAAGACTGCAGCGCCGCGTGTACCACTCGCGGATCACCTGAATGGGGGGGAGCTCCTGGGTAGGAGGGGAAGTACCGGGACGAGCTCCAGAAGCACCTCTCCGGAGGCGGCAGTACTCGAGGTACCTCTCCTGCAGCTGCTGGGAGGAGAGGGCTCCTCCAGGTGGAGCACGCTCAGGCTCAGCACCCCCAGACTCAGCACCCCCAGACTCAGCACCCCCAGTCTCAGCACGTCCAGACTCAGCACCCCCAGGCTCAGTACCTCCAGGCTCCGCACCTCCAGGCTCCGCACCTCCAGGCTCAGCACCCCCAGGCTCCGCACCTCCAGGCTCAGCACCCCCAGGCTCCGCACCCTCAGACGCAGCACTCCCAGGCTCAGCACCCCCAGACGCAGGACGCGAGTCAACAGCTACCTCGACAGGCTCACCCGGGTCTACCTGGGACACACCTGAGGGAGCGGCACCCTGAGGGGGGAGGGGGTCTGGTACCTCAGCACCTGGAGCGAGGAAGAGAGGCGGGGGGGGGAGCGGGGCAGTGCGGTAGGGGAAGAGGCGGTAGAAGGGGACGGACTCGTCAAAAGTGACGTCCTGAGAGGCCAGTTCCCGGCGCGAGGTGACGTGGTAAAACTGCCATCCAGGCGCGTCGGGAACAAAGCCAAGAAAGACACAGGGAACAGCGCGACGCGAGAGCTTGTCCGCGGACGTGTCGCGGACAAAAGCTCGAGATCCCCAGACCCGGAAACGCGACGCATCGCCAACCTCTCCCGTCCACCGCAGAGTCGGGGAAGTCTCCGGCAAGGAGACACGGGGCCAGAGGTTGAGCTGATGCGCAGCGTACCGGACCGCAAACGGCCACAGAAAGTGGGGAGCAGCCGCATGGGTCAGGGAGGTACGAGCGACCTCCATGACTAAGCCAATGCGGCGCTCAGCAACCCCATTCTGCTGTGGAGAGGCCGGAAGCGTGTACGACTGCTCAATGCCGTGCTCAGCACAGTAGGCTGCCAAGAGGTCGGAGGCAAACTCACCACCTCTGTCAGAGTGCAAGCGCAGGACAGGAAAGTCCGAGTGAAAGCGCTCGCCTAGCTGGAGACGGGCTCGGCTGATCCAGGGGATCAAAACACCAGGGACGTCACCCTTGGCGCGCAAGGGGAAGACCGTGGTGTAGCGCGAGTAGTCGTCAACAACTATCAGGAAGTACCTCTCCTGACCCTGACCACGGACGCGGGCTGGGCCCCACACGTCCATGTGGAGCGTCTGCAGGGGAGCGGTCGTCGGGGGAAAGGAGGAGGAGTGAGGAGCGGCGCGCTGCCGCCCCTCGACACAGGGAATGCAGTCAGGAGCAGGGGAGTCAGGAAGGGGAGGGAGCACCCTGGGAAGACCAGCAACAAGGTCCCGTTTGTGCATGGCCCGCAGGCGCTGCACAGACGGGTGACCAAGGCGGTGGTGCCAGAGGACGGTGTCGTTCGCCAGAGAGCGACACGAGCAGGGGGCGGACAGCTGACCTGACGCTGACGCAGACGCAGCTACCTGAGGGGACTCAGTGGTCAGTGTGTACAGGTCAGACCCCGGCTCTCGAGTGAAAGTAGCTAGGTGGCGGCCCGTCCGAGCACACGTGCAGTGAGTCACACGCTCGTAGGCAGGGGTGAACTGGTGAACACCCCCGTCCTGGAGCGCACTACCTGCCACCAAGTTCGTGGAGAACGAGGGGAGGTAGAGACCTGAGAGCGTGCCGGACGGAACCGCTGGACACGGAAGGGTGGTGGAGGAGGTCGCAAGGACCGGACCCCCAGAGGGGTCAGCAAGAGAGACAGCAACCGGCCGAGCTAGAGGCTCAAGGACAGTGCGGTCACGAAAGAAAGAGCGAGAAGCACCTGAGTCCAGTGTGAAGGTGTGCAGTGCTGCAGTCGACTCAGTACCAGGGGGCACAGACGCACAAGCACCTAGAGCAGCAGCTGCAGTAGTACCTGTGGAAGCAGACACACTAGCACCTAGAGCAGCAGCGGGGCTGGCCTGAATGCCCGGGTCGGGCGGAACACGCAAGTACTGAGCACCCTCTCCACTAATAGACATCGCATACATGGCAGTGAGAATAGCATCAAAGTCTAGTGCCCAAATATCAACACCCTTCCTGAGCAGCTCAGCCCAGCGCGGCAGCTCACCCCCACCAGGAAACTGGGTGCGCCACGCGTCGTTGAGGCGGGCGAAGCAGCGCTCCGTCTGGTGCGGCCCCCCACACGTCTGGCCAGTGCGGTCACCTGTACGAATAACGTACTGGCAGGTGACGCTGCGCCGCGCATACCACTCACGGGCGGCCTGAAGGGTCGGGGCAGGCTGCTGACTCTGACCGCCCCCCGGGCCTCCACGACCACCACCCCCTCCGCCTCCGCCCCGGCCACCTCCACCCCTGCCGCTGCCACGACCACCTCCGCCTCCGCTGCCACCTCCGCCCCTGTCACCACTCCCAACGCCGCTGTCACCTCCACCACTGCCGCCACTAGCCTCTCCAGTCGCACCTCCACCGCCACCACCTCCACCCCCGCCTCCTCCGCCACCACCCCCACTCCTGCCACTCCTGCCCCTGCGTCGTCCGCCTGAAGCAGACGCAGCCCCGACCTTCTCAGCACCAAGGAGGTCGACAGCAGCAGCAGAGGCGACAGAGGGGAGGAGGGGGGAAGGGGAGCACCCCTCGAAGAAGGGGCCGCGGGGGTCGCCACGAGAGGTGCCTACAGCGACGATACTAGCCTCGGCTGCAAGCAGTTCCTTCTCGAGGAGGTCTACGGTGAGCTCAGTGGGGGAGCGAGAGAGGAACTGGTCCCTGACAGGGCGCAGAGAGTCAGGGAGGCGGGTGACAACGTGGTAGAGAGTGATCCAGAGCGGGGGGGGGTTGCTAGCGAGGAACTCGTCAGGCATGGCAGCGCGAAAGCGAGCCTCACTAGTCTTAAGGTGGGTGATGAGGTCTGCGACAGTGTGAAAGGAGGCTAGGTCGGGGAACAGGTAGGGGAGAGTGAGGCGGCCTAGCGTGGCAGAAGCGGGTGAGGAGTAGCAAGCCACTACAGCTGTGTAGAGGTCCTTAGCAGTCTTGCACTGGCCGAAGTGCTCGCGCTCATCTAGCGGCAGGGAGTTGCGAATAGCAAAGCGAGCGTGCGCGTCACGGGTCTGCCACTGTGAGCGCTCAGCTGGGGGGGCAGTAGCGAGTGGGGCGGTCGCATGGCCGAGAGCGTGGTCGTACAGTGTAATATCTTCCTTGGCAGTGAGCTGTAGGAAAAGGTGCAGGTCATCTAGCCAGGTTTCGAATTTGACCGGACGGCCCTCGGCGTCGAAAGCTAGAACAGGAGGACTAGCCATAGCGACAGCGGCAGTAGTAGAAGCAGTAAAGTCACTGAAAAGGCGTGCGCAGGGTCAGCGGGGCCGGTGGGGCCTACGGACTGTAGTGGCGCACAAGCAGCAGTAGCAGGAAGTGTAGTAGTAGGATCTGCAGTGGTGCACAGGCGCAGCAGGCGGCAGCGAGAGCCGGCGCAGCAGGGGCGGGCTCAGCAGCGGTGATACGCGGGCTGCGGTGGGCGCAGCAGCGGCGGTGCGCAGGCGGCGGCGGGCTCAGCAGCGGCGGTGCGCGGGCGGTGGCGGGCTCAGCAGCGGCGGGCCGGGAGCAGGCTGCGCGGGGGCCGTGCGGGCCGTATGTGAGCTGTGCGGGCAGCGTGCGGGCCGGCGGCGGTCAGCGCACGAGCCGCGCAGGCTCAGCGCGGGCTGCGCGGGCTGCTCGCGGGCTGCGTAAGCGGGTCGCGGGCGGCTCGCGGGGGTTCGCGGGCAGGTCGCGGGCTGCTCGCGGGCAGTTCGCGGGCTGTGCGCGGGCTGCGCGGGCTGGTCGCGGGCTGCGCAGGCGGTTCGCGGGCTGTGCGTGGGCGGTTCGCGGGCTGTGAGCGCGGCGCGCTGTGCGGTTCGCGGGCGGCGTGACGGGGCCGATCGGGGCGCTAAGGGGCGACGCGACGGGGGCCGTGAGAGGCCGCTAGGAAAAAAAAAAAAAAGGTTCGACGGGGCCGCAGGGCCGCTAGATCGTGCTAGATCGACGGGGCCAGCGGGGCCGGAAACAAGCGAAGGTAAGCAGGTAGGTAAGTCGGTGGGCCCTAAGAACAGTCCTAGCGAAGGACCTGCTCTGAAACCATGTCAGAAATAACTGAGCAGGAATGAATGAACTAGCACAGAGTTTGGTACAAGTAGGAAACCCTAACTTTGAGTACCCCCTAAGGTGTAACCCACTACAGCCTACATAATATAAACATGCAATGTTTGACATAGACGACACCGAGCAGCAAGGTCAACCAACTCAGCGACCAGAGCAGACGCAGCAGAGGACTCAAAGGTAGGGTCAGTGACAACAGTGGCAAGGAGACGCGTGACAGTGGGACTGGCAGCACGACGGGAGTCAGACTCCGGGTCAGGAAGAGTAGGTAGAGAGGACGCAGGAGGAGACGGCAGAGGGACACGCTGAGGAGCAGTGGAGGGACGCAGCGTCATGTAGTGAGTGCCAGGGACAGGAGGAGGACGCTCACGTGGGACACGACGACCAGTGCGAGCAGTACGAACAGGCGACGCAGGACGAGACTCAGGCTCACGACGCTCCGTAAGACCTCCTGTGGGACCAATGTAAGGAGAGGGACCAGGGAGAGGCGAGGCAGGCGATAACTGTGACTGCGACTGGACAGGCGGAGGACACTCTAAGGAGGGAGGAGGACAAGGAGAAGGAGCCTGACCAAGAACCTGCTGAAGGAGCGGTACGAAGTACGGTCGCGGCCGCGCAGCGTCTCCAGAACCAGCAGAGACACCAGCGCCAGGGTCCTCAGCACCAGCAGCAGCTCCACCGCCCGGGTCCTCAGCACTAGCAGCAGCTCCACCGCTCGGGTCCTCAGCACCAGCAGCAGCTCCAACGCCCGGGTCCTCAGCACCAGCAGCAGCTCCACCGCCCGGGTCCTCAGCACCAGCAGCAGCTCCACCGCCCGAGTCCTCAGCACCAGCAGTAGCTCCAACGCCAGGGTCCGTAGCACCAGCAGCAGCTCCACCGGCCGGGTCCTTTGCCCCAGCAGCAGCTCCACCGCCCGGGTCCTCAGCACCAGCAGCAGCTCCACCGCCCGGGTCCTCAGCACCAGCAGCAGCTCCAACTCCAGGGTCCGCAGCACTAGGAGCGCCACTCCGAAGACTGCAGCGCCGCGTGTACCACTCTCGGATCTGCTGAAGGGAGGGGAGCTCCCGGGTAGGAGGGGAAGCACTGGTACCAGCTCCAGCAGCACCTCTCCGGAGGCTGCAGTACTGTAGGTACCTCTCCTGCAGCTGCTGTGAGGAGAGGGCTCCTCCAGGTGTAGCACTCTCAGGCTCAGCACCCCCAGACTCAGCACCCCCAGACTCAGCACCCCCAGACTCAGCACCTCCAGGCTCAGCACCCCCAGGCTCCGCACCTCCAAGCTCAGCACCCCCAGGCTCCGCACCCCCAGGCTCCACACCCCAGGCTCCGCACCCCCAGACTCAGCACCGCCAGGCTCCTCACGCGCAGGCTCAGCACCCCTAGCAGGACGAGACTCGACAGCTACCTCGACAGGCTCAAAGGGGTCTACCTGGGACACACCTGAGGGAGCGGCACCCTGAGGGGGGAGGGGGTCTACCACAGCAGCACCTGGTGCGAGGAAGAGAGGCGGGGGGGGGAGCGGGGCAGTGCGGTAGGGGAAGAGGCGGTAGTAGGGGACGGACTCGTCAAAAGTGACGTCCTGAGAAGGCAGAACCCGGCGCGAGGTGACGTGGTAGAACTGCCAACCAGGCGCGTCCGGGACAAAGCCAAGGAAGACACAGGGGACAGCGCGACGGGAGAGCTTGTCCGCGGACGTGTCGCGAACAAAAGCTCGGGATCCCCAGACCCGAAAACGCGACGCATCGCCAACCTCTCCCGTCCAACGTAGTGTCGGAGAAGTCTCCGGCAAGGAGGCACGGGGCCAGAGGTTGAGCTGATGCGCAGCGTATCGGACCGCAAACGGCCACAGAAAGTGGGGAGCAGCCGCATGGATCAGGGAGGTACGAGCGACCTCCATGACCAAGCCAATGCGGCGCTCAGCAACCCCATTCTGCTGTGGAGAGGCCGGAAGCGTGAACGACTGCTCAATGCCGTGCTCGGCACAGTAGGCTGCCAGAAGGTCGGAGGAGAACTCACCACCTCTGTCAGAGTGCATACGCAGGACAGGAAAGTCCGAGCGAAAACGCTCGCTGAGCTGGAGACGAGCTCTGCTGATCCAAGGGATCAAGACAGCAGGGACCTCACCCTTGGTGCGCAAGGGGAAGACCGTGGTGTAGCGAGAGTAGTCGTCAACAACAATCAGGAAGTACCTCTCCTGACCCTGTCCACGGACGCGGGCTGGGCCCCACACGTCCATGTGGAGCGTCTGCAAGGGAGCAGTCGTCGGGGGAAAGGAGGAGGAGTGAGGAGCGGCACGCTGCCGCCCCTCGACACAGGGAATACAGGGAGGAGCAGGCGAGGGTGGGAGGGGAGGGAGAACCCTGGGAAGACCAGAGACAAGGTGCCGTTTGTGCATGGCACGAAGGCGCTGCACAGACGGGTGGCCAAGTCGGTGGTGCCAGAGGACGGTCTCGTGCGCCAGAGAGCGACACGAGCAGGGGGCCGACAGCTGACCTGACACAGACGCAGACGCAGCTACCTGAGGGGACTCAGTGGTCAGTGTGTACAGGTCCGACCCCGGCTGCCGAGTGAAGGTAGCCAGGTGACGGCCCGTCCGAGCACACGTGCAGTGTGTCACGCGCTCGTATGCAGGGGTGAACTGGTGAACACCCGCATCCTGGAGCGCACAACCCGCCACCAAGTTCGTAGAGAACGAGGGGAGGTGGAGACCTGACAGTGTGCCCGACGGGACCGCAGGACAGGGAAGAACAGTGGAGGAGGTCGCAATGACCGGACCCCCAGAGGGGTCAGCGAGGGAGACAGCAACTGGCCGAGCAAGCGGCTCAAGGGCAGTGCGGTCACGAAAGAAACAGCGAGAAGCACCTGAGTCCAGGGTGAAGGTGTGCAGTGCCTCAGTCGACTCAGTACCAGGGGGGACAGACTCACTAGCACCTAGAGCGGCAGCCTCACCATCACCTGAGGTGGCAGACACGCGAGTACCTGCAGTGGCAGTCTCACTAGCACCTAGAGCGGCAGCCTCACTGGTCAGAATGCCCGGGTCGGGCGGAACACGCAAGTACTGAGCACCCTCTCCACTAGTAAACATCGCATACATGGCAGTGAGAATAGCATCAAAGTCTAGAGCCCAGATATCAACTCCCTTCCTCTCCAGATCAGCCCAGCGGGGCAGCTCAGTGGCATCAGGGAACTGGGCGCGCCAAGCGTCGTCAAGGCGCGAGAAACAGCGCTGCGTGGGGTGCGGCCTCCCACACGTCTGACCAGTGCGGTCACCAGTGCGGATGACGTACGTGCAGCTAAAGCCACCCGCCCCCCGGCGCTGCGAATACCACTCACGGGCCTCCTGGAGCGACGGAGTGTGCTGCTGGCTCAGACCACCGCCAGCGCCTCCACGACCACCACCGCCGCCGCCACCTCCTCGACCACCTCCTCCCCTGCCGCTGCCACGACCACCTCCGCCTCCGCTGCCGCCCCCGCCCCTGCCACCGCCCCCGCCGCTGCCGTCACCACCCCACCGCCGCCACTAGCCTCTCCAGCCCCTCCTCCACTCCCACCGCCTCCACCCCCGCCTCCCCCGCCGCCACCTCCACCCTTGCCCCCTCTGTTCCTGCGGCGCCCGCTCGGAGCAGACGCCGTCCCGACCTTCTCAGCACCAAGGAGGTCGACAGCAGAAGCAGAGGCTACAGAGGGGAGAAGGGGGGAAGGGGAACACCCCTCAAAGAAAGGGGTGCGGGGGTCGCCACGAGAGGCACCTACAGCGACGATGCTCGCCTCAGCTGCAAGTAGTTCCTTCTCGAGGAGGGCAATGGTGAGCTCAGTGGGGCAGCGAGCTAGAAAGTGATCCCTGACTGCGCGCAGAGAGTCAGGGAGGCGGGTGACAATGTGGTAGAGAGTGAGCCAGAGCGGGGGGGGGGGGTTGCTAGCAAGGAACTCGTCAGGCATAGCAGCGCGGAAGCGGGCCTCACTAGTCTTGAGGTGGGTGATGAGGTCAGCAACTGTGTGAAAGGAGGCCAGGTCGGGGAACAGGTAGGGGAGTGAGAGGCGGCCTAGTGCGGCAGAAGCAGGTGAGGAGTAACGAGCAACGACAGCAGTGTACAGTTCCTTAGCAGTCTTGTGCTGGCCAAAGTGCTCGCGCTCATCTATCGGCAGGGAGTTGCGAATAGCAAAGCGAGCGTGGGCGTCACGAGTCTGCCACTGTGAGCGGGCAGTGCTGTCAGCAGAAGTATCAGGGGCAGTAGCATGGCCTAGGGCGTGATCGTACAGTGAGATGTCCTCCTTGGCAGTGAGCTGTAGGAAGAGGTGCAGGTCATCTAGCCAGGTGTCGAACTTCACTGGGCGGCCCTCAGCATCGAAAGCGAGTACAGGAGGACTAGCCATAGTAGCAGTAGTAGTAGCAGTAAGGGCACCCTAAGAGCAGTAGGCTACGCGACGCAGGTAGGGCGGCTCGGTCCAGAGAGGCTGTTCAGTACGGGCGGCGTGGCTTGGTTCTGGTAGGGCGGTGCGGCTCGGGTAGGGCGGCGCGGCTCGGTTCGGGCTGCGCGGCTCGGCTGGGGGCCTGCGCACGGGCGGCAGCGGCGCGTAGGCTGCGGTTGCGGGCGGGCGGCAGCTGCGCGGAGGCGGCCGGCGTGCGAGCAGCTGCGGCGCGCGGGCTGCAGTTGCGCGCGGGCGGCAGCTGCGTGGAGGCGGCCGGCGTGCGAGCAGCTGCGGCGCGCGGGCTGCGGCCTGCGTAAGGGCGGCGGGTGCGCGGGGCTGCGGCCTGCGTGCGAGCGACGGCAGCGCGAGGCGGCGAGCAGCTCGCGGGCTGCGCGCGGGGCCGCACAAGGCCGCGGCGGGCCGCGCGTTAGTGGCGCTGGCTGCGCGGGGAGCTAGCGGGCCGCGCGCGGGCGGCTAGCGGGTCGCGCGCACGGCAAGCGGGCCGCGCGCGGGTGGCTAGCGGGCTGCGCGTACTGAAAGCGGGCCGCGCGCGGGTGGCTAGCGGGCTGCGCGCGCGCGGTAGTGAGAGGCAGAGCGCGCGAGGGCGCACAAGTAGAGAGAGGCGCACAAGGGCGCGAGTAAGGCGAGGCGCATGAGGGCGCTTCTAACGGAACGGTGGGCCCGTAGTAGTAGGCGGTCCTAGGTGTCTAACCTAGGCTCATAATACCATGTTAGAATGAACAAGTGTTGTTGGACTAGAAAGGAATGAGAGTACAAATATGAAACCCTAGAGTTGTGACCCCCCTATAGACTAACCCACTATAGCCTACACAAATATAACATGTATAATGTTTGACATCAGGAAGACGGGAACCTTTCTACTTTGTCACATTTCTATCAATATTTATTGATTTCATACAATTTCACAACCAAGCATCTACATATACGCTCATTTCATGTTTCATACATATTTCTTAGATATACCATTGGAGGGCTAAAAGGTGAACTCACGTGGGTGCATGGGGTGTCGCATGCTCGCACAACGTTACAGACCAACACCATTCTATTGAGTGTTTCCACTCAATGGCACATAGCCCATCATTGTTTTGTAATCACGTACGTTTATTGTCATTTCCACACACCCATCAACATTTACTACATATGTCGTCCTTTATTGTCAAGCTGAAAATTTGCAAGGTGGAGTCGAGTTTCATGCTGCGAGCTGTCTGTGAGGTTAGTGACGCGAGCGGAACGTACGGCCCGACAGCACTAGGCACCTCCGCGGACCGCACAATTAAGTTGGTGGAAGAGGGGCAGAAGTTGACCAAGACTTCCCAGACGGAGACACTTGTCGTCCAGTGGGTCACTGAGGTCTTCAATATTGACACGCAGATCATGACTACCAAAAGGTGCGATACATTTTTGTTCATTAGTGTATAAAGCATTTGTACAAAGCATTTGTACTCTGTACGTCTTTGAAATCTGTTATCATATGATATTTGCATTCTTATTTAAAGCATCTTTGTAAAAGTTATCCTATCACATATCCAATACATGTATGTTAGGTTGAGGAACACCAAGATTACAGACAGCTCTGTCAATGCTCGCATCACCCCGACTGTCGACCCTCAGACAGTGCTCCCCTTGCTCACGACCCCTGTCGACCTCGGTATTATCTCATCGTAAGTCAATATGTTGAATTTTCTTAGATTGTTGAGTATCGTTTAGTAGTGTTATCTATAATTTTTTTACTATCATTTCTTGATTTTTTGCTTTCCTTGAGTTCACATTCATTTTGATACTTCTAATGTCTCTCATACATGTTGAGTGCAATACACAGTTTGCACGACAACCTACCGCCTATTTGTCGTGGTTGAATGAAATTGAGAATTTACGCCTCAAAGTAATTTGTTCTGTGTGAATTGCGCATTTTCATGCTTTACGTTTCTGTGCCTCCGGTTCTTGAGCTGTGTTCATTTTTTTGTAAGGTTGCGTTCGTGAGTGTTCGTGAATGTCCGTAAGTGATTACGAGACTTTGTGTGCATTTGCGCTGGTTCGCGAGTTGTCATGAGCGTTCGTGTTTATTTTTGTTTTTCTGTTTTCGTTTGTGTTCGTGAAGAGTCGTGAGTGTTCGCGAGATAGTTTCGCGGTGGCCAAGGTCAAGGGCGCGAGAATCTTGACCGCGCGCGTGGTCTTGAATTTGCGTGTGGGCCCTCAGGCCCGAGCGTGTGTCTCAAAGTCAATGCGAACGTGTGACAGTGCACTGTTGCACGAGGGCACGAGGCCCATGATCGCAACAGAAAGTGCACGTTCGTGCACTGTAGAGCATCGGTCCTGCTATGATTGCGCCGGCAGGGGCGCGCGTGTGTTTCGGGGGGTGCTGCGGGATTCCGAAGGGTGCTCGGGTTTAAACTGAATCTCGAGGCTTGTCATTTACTACGCGTGGCACACAGAAACTTCGCGGGAAAGTAGCCCGCGTTAAGGGACAATTTCGATACAGAGAAAAACGGTGAAAAACTGTGAAGTAACTGTAAGGCTTTGTGAAAAACAATGAGAAACCGTTTTGTAACTATGAGCGTTCGTGATAACGGTAATCAATACGAATGTTCATGAGTGCGCGTGGGAAATCATGAATGTTCGCGAAGACAGTCAGCAGGGGAATTTGGAGTGCAACTTGAAGTCAGTTATTTCCACAAGGCGAATCAAGCCAAATTCAAGCGCAGTTTCGTAACCGTTCTTCAAGGACAGCAAGGAGAAGTCATGAAGACTAGTTAAACAATTGCTTTGTGCTTTCTCATGCTTGTGTGTCAGGCGAAATATAAAAGCATGCTTGTGTTCAGTTGTAGTGCATCCTTTTGAGTGGAGTTTTTCTCTATCAACGTATTGACGTGAAGAGAAATTTCTGCATACGACCAGTTCGTCGTCATAACGCTGCGCAAGGATTCTTGGGAATGCTCTAGCATACGCCGTTACCATTCTGCTTGGCACGTCCCTCTACAAAACACGGTCCCTTGGTTAGGGGTTGGCTTTGCCAGGCACCCGAGGACTCTTGGAGGTGACCCCATGGGGACTGCTATTATGAGTAAAAGGGCGTATATTGTTAGAATCTAGCAGCAGGAATGAATGAACTAGCAGCATGCAGGAGTACAAGTAGTAAACCCTGATTGGGTTGTACCCCATATGGGCTACCCCACTACAGCCTAGAAAATATGCAGCATATATGTTTGACACACCCCCATAGGCAAAGTGGGGGAGAACAAGGGGTCACACGACCAGTCATGAGAAGCAGAGCAAGCTCAGGGTGGATCACAACGTCACCACACACTCTGAGCACAAGCAAAGGGCCACAAGGCCAGTTCACATGCAGAGATATATATGCAGCAATAACAATACAGTGATGACTACCTAGCAAGAGCCAGCATGCAGGTATATATATAGATCACAGTACAAGCAAAGTTTACAGCAAGTGTGGAAACGTAGGCACAAGGCCTAACAGGGTACAAAAGCGCTGATGATCACCAGACAGAAGTGCCTTGGTGAATATATCAGCAGTGTTGGCCCGAGTGGCCACGTGGCGAAGACGAAGCTGGCCTCGCTGCTGCAACTCTCGAGCCAAAAAATAATGTAGAGCGATGTGCTTCGTTCTGTGCTCCAGTCTGTGCTCCTCACACAAGGCAATGGCCGCCTTGTTGTCAACGTACAGAACTGGAGGAGAACGAGGCCGCTCACCCAAGTCAGTCAGCAGGTAGGTGAGCCAGCGTAGCTCCTGTGCAGCCATGGCTGTGGCGTAGATCTCAGCCTCACAACTGGAGCTGAGAACAGAAGACGAGCATGTAGACCGCCAAGAAACAGAGCCAGAGCCAAGGCTGAAGGTGTAACCCTGTGACGACCGCTGTGTAGTCTGGTCGTCAACCCAAGACGCGTCTGAGTGCACAGTCAGGACCACCTCACTCCGTCCTCCAAGCACAAGCCCCATGCCTGATGTACTGCACAGGTAGCGCAACACCCTCTTGGCAGCATCCATGTGCACCTTTCGGTGCCTGCCAGGAGCCACGTAACGAGCCAAAAGACCAAGAGGGTATGCGAGGTCAGGTCGAGTGCAGGTCATCAGGTACATGAGGCAGCCAACTAGCTCTGGGTAAGGACCACTCGGCTCTACGGACTCGTCCGAAGGTGGAGCTGAGAGCGAGTGACCTGTAGCCAGAGGAGTGGGCTGTGGGGAGGACCAGGAGAAGCCGAAGCGCTGAAGGACCTGCTGCACCATGTGTGACTGAATCAGGGTGATGGTGCGGCGTGCTTTGTCCCGGGTGATCTGCAAGCCAAGGTAGCTGCGCAGCTCATCCAGGTCTGTGCACGTGTGTCTCTTCTACAGCTCCGACTTCACCAGGGCGAGAGCCTCGGTGTCAGCAGTGGCAAAGACCAAGTCGTCGACGTACACGAGGATGTAGAACGGCGGCAGGGAAGTGTCGGTGCGCAGAAACAGCGACGGGTCAGCAGTCGAAGGAGCGAACCCAAGAGCCGCAAGCGTAGTCCTCAGTGTGTCGTGCCACTCACGAGGCGCTTGGCGGAGACCGTAGACTGGCCGCCGGAGGCTCCACTTGGTACCAGGAGGGAACGACCCAGTGAAGCCAGGTGGGCGGCGCAGCCAGATCTCCTCGTGTAGGCTGCCTTGTAAGAAGGCTGTGCTGAAGTCAAGAGAGTAAAGCTCGTAGTCACGCTGAGCGGCAACGTGCAGCACCACCCGAAGAGTGGTCATCTTCGGGGTGGGGGAGAAGGTCTGGAAGAAGTCAACTCCCTCTCGCTGTCTGAAGCCTCGAGCAACGTAACGAGCCTTGAAGACAGGCGGAGATCCCGGCGGCCGCTTCACCCTGAAAATCCACATGCCATCGACGATGTTCGCCCCAGGAGGGGGAACCTCATCGACGTAAGTGCCTGTGGACTTCCAGGATGCCATCTCTGCGTCCATGGCTGTCTGCCACTGAGAAGAGTAGTCACCCGCGATCGCCTCAGCGTAAGAGCGCGGGGTCGGGATGTCTGGTGCATCCGGGTCTCCCTCAGGGGCAAGCAGCATGGCCACGAGATGGGGCGCAGCGGCCGCAAGACACTCAAGGTCCTCGTGCCTGTCCTCAAGGACGTCCGTGCTAAGAGCACACTCACCCCCGACGGACAGAGGACAGACAGACTCAGACTCAGCAACAAGACTGGCAGTGAAGTCTAGACGACAGGCAGCAGCAAAGTCAACAAGCTCAGCGACCAGGGCAGACGCAGCAGTAGACTCAAACAACGGGTCAGTGACAACAGTGGCTAGCAGACGCGTAACAGTAGGGTGCTCAGCACGAAACCGGTCAGACTCAGGGTCCGCGACGTCAGGCAAAGAGGACGCAGGGGGAGACGGAAGAGGAGTACGCTCCGGAGGAGAGGACCGACGCAGGGCTACAAGGCGTGTGCCGGGGACAGCCGGCTGACGCTGACGAGGAACACGACGAACGGTACGACAAGGACGAACAGGCGAGACAGGACGCGACGCAGGCTCACGACGCTCAGCAAGACCCCCTGTCTGCTCAGTGTAAGGAGAAGGAGCAGGCAGCGGAGAGCCAGGCAGTAACTGTAGACCAGTAGAAGACGGGAGGTCAAGAACCTGGCGAAGGGCAGAGCCAGACGGTGGCTGAGACGACGGAGACGGCGGAGCGAAGAAAAGTCGAGTCGGTGCAGTGCTACCAGCACCAGCAGCTCCAGCACCTCCAGTAGCTCCAGCACCTCCAGCAGCACCAGAACCCTCAGCGCCAGCTCCTCCAGGGCCAGCTCCACCAGCAGCAGCACCCCCAGAACCGGCACCCCCAGTCCCAGGGTCTCCAGCCGCAGTGTCCCCAGCAGCAGCACCCGCAGGCTCAGCACCTCCAGCCCCAGTAGCTCCAGTACCCCCAGTACGAGCACCTCCGAGACCAGCACCAATCCCATCTCCAGCGACGTCAGCAGAAGTAGCAGTAGCAGAGCCCCTAGCTCCAGAAGCGCGACCCTGACGGCGACCGTACCAGTCGTGCAGCTGCTGTGAGGTGAGAGGCACACGTGGACGAAGGCGGCCACTCCAAGGAGACCGCGCAACAGCAGACTCAGAACCCTCAGCACCAGCACCTCTAACAGCTCCAGAACCTCCAGTGCCAGCACCCTCAGCGCCAGCACCTCCAGCAGCTCCAGAACCTCCAGTGCCAGCACCCTCAGCAGCTCCAGAACCCCCAGCGTCAGTACCCTCAGCAGCTCCAGAACCTCCAGCTCCAGCGCCACCAGCACCAGGACCTCCAGCAGCTCCAGAACCTCCAGCGCCTGCAACCTCAGCAGCAGCAGAGCCTCCAGGAAAAACAGCTCCAGGAGCAGAGTCACCAGCTCCAGCAACGCGGCGATGACGGCCAAGGTACCACTCAACCAGCTGCAGGGAGGAGAGGGGGAGTCGACGACGAGAGGGCAGCGGCGAGGCACCAGCGGAGCGACTACGGAGACGGCCGCTCCAGGGAGACTGCTCACCAGACGCCTCAGCACCCCCAGGTGCAGCACCCCCAGACTCAGTACCGCCAAGCTCAGCACCCCCAGACCCCTCACACTCAGGCTCAGCACCTCCAGGCTCCACACCCTCAAGCTCCGCATCCCGAGGATCAGTACCCCCAGGCTCAGCACCCCCAGGCTCCGCACCCCCAGGCTCAGCACCCCCAGGAGTAGCACCTCGAGCAGGACCACCCTCAGCAGGACCTGAGTCACCAGTGACCTCAACCAGCGCAGGGAAGGGAGGAGGGTCTACCTGAGACACACCTGAAGGAGCAGGACCTGAAGCGGGGAGAGGGTCTACCTGGGGAGCACCTGGAGCGAGGAAGAGCGGCGGGGGGGGGGGGGGGGGGGGGGAGCGGGGCAGTGCGGTAGGGGAAGAGACGGTAAAAGGGAACCGACTCGTCGAACGTGACGTCCTGAGACGCAAAGACACGGCGCGAGGTGGGGTGGTAAAACTGCCAACCAGGCGCGTCAGGGACAAAGCCAAGGAAGACGCAAGGAACAGCGCGAGCGGAGAGCTTGTCCGCGGTGGTATCGCGAACAAAGGCACGGGCACCCCATTCCCGGAAACGCGACGCATCGCCAACCTTTCCCGTCCACAGCAGTGTGGGCAAGGTCTCCGGCAAGGAGACACGGGGCCAGAGGTTGAGCTGATGCGCGGCGTATCGGACCGCAAACGGCCACAGAAAATGGGGGGCAGCCGCATGGATCATGGAGGTACGAGCGACCTCCATGACTAAGCCAATGCGGCGCTCAGCAACCCCATTCTGTTGCGGAGAGGCCGGAAGCGTGAACGTCTGGCGGATGCCGTGCTCCTCACAATAGGCTGCCAAGAGGTCGGAGGAAAACTCACCACCTCTGTCAGAGTGCAGACGCAGGGCAGGAAAGTCCGACCGGAACTGCTCGTGGAGCTGGAGACGAACACTGCGGATCCAAGGGATCTTAACATCAGGGACGTCCCCCTTGCTCTGCAAGGGGAAGACCGTGGTGTAACGCGTGTAGTCGTCGACGACCAGCAGGAAGTACCGCTCGTGGCCCTGTCCACGGACGCGGGCTGGGCCTCACACGTCCAGGTGGAGAGTGTGCAGGGGAGTCTCTGTGGGAGGGAACGAGGAGGAGTGAGGAGCGGCGCGCTGCCGCCCCTCGACGCAAGGAATGCAGGGCGGCGCAGGCGAGGGAGGGAGGGGAGGCAGAGACCTGGGAAGACCAGAAACCAGGGAGCGAGAGTGCATGCCACGAAGGCGCTGCACCGAGGGGTGACCAAGGCGGTGGTGCCACAGGAGGGTCTGGTGCGACAAAGCTCGACACTCGCAGGGGGCCGCTAGCTGACCTGACGCAGACGCAGACGCAGCTACCTGAGGGGACGCAGTGGTCAGTGTGTACAGACTCGAGCCAGGCGCACGGGTAAACGTGGCCAGGTGTCGGCCCGTCCGAGCACACGTACAGTGAGTCACTCGCTGACTCGCAGGAGTGAACTGGTCAACCCCCCCATCCTGGAGGTCAGCTCCACTCACCAAGTTCGTAGAGAACGAGGGGAGGTAAAGACCTGACAGCGAGCCAGACGGGGCGGCCGGACACGGCAGAACCGTGGAGTAGTGGGCAAGGACTGGACCTAAGAGGGGTCCGCCAGGGAGACCGGAACTGGCCGACTGAGCGGCGTGAGTGTGGTGCAGTCGCGAAAGAAGGAGCGGGAAGCTCCTGAGTCAAGGGTGAAGGTGTGCAAGACCGCAGCAGGCGCAGTACCAGAGAGAGCAAACTCACCAGCACCTAGAGCAGCAGCCTCACCAGCACCTAGAGCAGCAGCCTCACCAGTACCGAGAGCAGCAGGCGCTATACCAGGGTCAGGCGGTACGCACAGGTAACAGGCACGGTCAACACTAGTAGGCAATGCATACATGGCAGTGAGAATAGCATCATAGTCAAGAGCAAAGATATCTACCCTCTGTCCAAGCAGCTCCGGCCAGGTAGGGAGCTCAGCCTCGTCGCCAAACACGATACGCTAGGCGTCGCTCAGACGGGCGAAGCAGCGGGACTGTGTGTGACCAAGTGTCCCACAAGGCTGACCAGTCCTATCACCTGTGCGAATGACGTACGGACAGCGAACTGTACGCGTAGACCTGCTACTCTGAGCGTACCACTCATGGAGCTGCTGGGACGTAAGTGTCTCGCGTGGACGCCGCTGCAGCTGCAGCTGGCCACTGCCAGACGCCCCCAACTGACCAGCTCCAGGGCGACAGCTACGACGGCTACCTCGACAGCCCCAACTAGTATACCACTCACTAAGCTGCTGGGGCGTGAGAGACTCGCGTGAACGTCGTTGGATCCCAATAGTTTCTAACAATACATTACCCGTCATTTACATGCTTTCTAGTTAGCGTACCCTCATTTTGTTTCGTTGTCACACACTCCTATGGAACACTCTTCATTGCTTATACTTTCTTTTGGTTATCAGTTGTCGTCCTTTTTATATGTATATAAAAAATGTCAATTCCTCTTTCATATGCAATGTTTACTTGTATATATTTCACTATTACACATGGCATGGCATTTTCTTGTATCTTCATGTGTTTCACAAAAAGCATGTACCCTTATAATATTTAGTTATTTGTTATTCTTATATTTAAAATTAATTTGCACCATTATTATCATAACAAACTCTATGCTGTTCGGGAGCAGTAGAGGACAATATTACTGCTTTGGGATGAAAGGTCGCATGTACACTCAGCGTGGAAATCCGTGATGCTCGCACCACTATAGAGCGGACTTGCTCATCCGGCCCACCAAAGGATAGTACGAGCGTGTGCGATTTTCCTGTGGGTTGGTGCTGCTCCAGGGTACCTTTCCGACAACTGACACGCCTTGCCCAAAGCTACTGGGGTGACAACATTGCTGTTGTGTTTGACACACCAACAGGTATACAAACTCAATGTGTGTTCTGATGCACAATTTTTGTGACAAAAAATATGCGGACAACATTGTAGTTGTGCTATTGCGTTCTTCCTCTTTATTTTTCATCAATGCTCCCTGTCTTTTCTTCCTAATAATTCTCTTCCGGCCTATCGCATAACACTTGGAGCCTATCATATCTTAGGCTTGCTATTCTGTTGCCTATGTTATCACAAAGTAACACTTGCATTTGGCCTTGTATTATTTCATTTGTACTCTTTTTATTCTTGCATGGATTTTTCTGTTTCCTCTTCATTTGATTACACCCAGTTTCAAAATTATATCCGTATAGCCCGCCCCGAGTCGCGCGCAGCCCGCTGCAGCCACGCGCAGCCCGCACCGAGCCGCGCGCAGCCCGCTGCAGCCGCGCGCAGCCTGCACCGAGCCGCGCACAGCCCGCTGCAGCCGCGCGCAGCCCGCACCGAGCCGCGCGCAGCTCGCAGCTGCCGCGCGCAGCCCGCGCCGAGCCCACGCAGCCCGCGTCGAGCCGCGCGCGGCCTGCTACGGCCTCGCGAGGCCCGCGCGCGGCCCGCAGCAGCCCGCGCCGAGCCGCGCGCGGCCTGCTACTGCCTCGCACGGCCCGCGCGCGGCCCGCAACAGCCCGCGCCGAGCCGCGCGCGGCCCGCTACTACCTAGTGCGGCCGCGCGCGGCCTGCAGAAGCTCCGCGCGCTGTCAGCGCAGCCCGCGCCGAGCCGCGCGCGGCCCTCTGCCTCGGCCCCGACCTGCCGCTGATGCGGCCCCGCCCTGCAGCTGCCACGGCCCCGACCTGCCGCTGACGCGGCCCCGCCCTGCAGCTGCCACGGCCCCGACCTGCCGCTGATGCGGCCCCGCCCTGCAGCTGCTTCGGCCCTGCTCTGCAGCCGGTGTTGCGGCCCCGACGTCGCCGCTATTGAGCGCCGGCCCTGCTCGCCCGGTGAGCGCCTGCTCTCCCAGCCTTTGGTGAGCGACTGCCTGCCTGCCTGACGGCCTGCCTGCCTGCCTGCCTGCCTGCCTGCCTGCCTGCCTGCCGGCCTGCCTGCCTGCCTGCGCGCCTGCCTGCCTGCCTGCCGGCCTGCCTGCCTGCCTGCCGGCCTGCCTGTCTGTCTGCCTGCCTGTCTGCTTGCCTGCCTGCCTGCCTGCCTGCTTGCCTGCCTGCCTGCCACGCCTGGTCAGATGCAGCTCCAGCGACGTTCACGCGAGCCTCTCACGCCCCAGCAGCTTAGTGAGTGGTATACTAGCTGGGGTTGTCGCGGTAGCCGTAGTAGCTGTCGCCCTGGGGCTGGTCAGTTGGGAGCGTCTAGCAGTGGCCAGCTGCAGCTGCAGGGGCGTCCACGCGAGACACTTACGCCTCGGCAGCTCCAGGAGTGGTACGCTCAGTGTAGCAGGTCTACACGTACAGTTCGCTGCCCGTACGTCATTCGCACAGGTGCTAGGACTGGTCAGCCTTGTGGGACGCTTGGTCACACACAGTCCCGCTGCTTCGCCCGTCTGAGCGACGACTGGCGCACAGTGTTTGGCGACGAGGCTGAGCTCCCCACCTGGCTGGAGCTGCATGGACAGGGGGTAGATATCTTTGCGCCTGACTATGATGCTATTCTCACTGCCATGTATGCATTGTCTACTAGTGCTGACCGTGCCTGTTGCCTGTGCGTACCGCCTGACCCTGGTGAGGCTGCTGCTCTAGGTGCTAGTGCGTCTCCTGCTCTAGGTGCTGGTGAGGCTGCTGCTCTCGGTGCTAGTACGTCTACTGCTCTAGGTACGGGTGAGGCCGTGGCTTCAGGTGCTGCCGTGTCTGCTCTCTCTGGTACTGCGCCCACTGCGGTCTCACACACCTTCACCCTTGACTCAGGAGCTTCCCGCTCCTTCTTTCGCGACTGCACCGCACTCACGCCGCTCCGTCGGCCAGTCCCGGTCTCCCTGGCGGACCCCTCTGGGGGTCCAGTCCTTGCCCACTATTCCACGGTTCTGCCGTGTCCGGCCGTCCCGTCCGGCTCGCTGTCAGGTCTTTACCTCCCCTCGTTCTCTACGAACTTGGTGAGTGGAGCTGACCTCCAGGATGGGGGGGTTCACCAGTTCACTCCTGCGAGTCAGCGAGTGACTCACTGTACGTGTGCTAGGACGGGCCGGCACTTGGCCACGTTCACCCGTGCACCTGGCTCGAGTCTGTACACACTGACCACTGAGTCCCCTCAAGTAGCTGCGTCTGCGTCTGCGTCTGCGTCTGGTCAGCTGGCGGCCCCCTGCGAGTGTCGCGCTTTGTCGCACGACACTCTCCTGTGGCACCACCGCCTTGGTCACCCCTCCTTGCCTCGCCTGCGTAGCATGCACTCTCGCTCCCTGGTCTCTGGTCTCCCCAGGTCTCTGCCTGCCCTCCCTCCCTCGCCTGCGCCGCCCTGCATTCCTTGCGTCGAGGGGCGGCAACGCGCTGCTCCTCACTCCTCCTCGTTTCCTCCCACAGAGGCTCCACTGCAGACGCTCCACCTGGACGTGTGGGGCCCAGCCCGCGTCCAGGGACAGGGCCGCGAGCGGTACTTCCTGCTGGTCGTCGACGACTACACGCGTTACACCACGGTCTTCCCCTTGCGGAGCAAGGCGGATGTCCCTACTGTTTTGATCCCCTGGATCCGCGCTGTTCGTCTCCAGCTCCGCGAGCGGTTCCGGTCGGACTTTCCTGTCCTGCGTCTGCACTCTGACAGAGGTGGTGAGTTCTCCTCCGACCTCTTGGCAGCCTACTGTGCGGAGCACGGCATCACCCAGTCGTTCACGCTTCCGGCCTCTCCGCAGCAGAATGGGGTTGCTGAGCGCCGCATTGGCTTAGTCATGGAGGTCGCTCGTACCTCCATGATCCATGCAGCTGCCCCCCATTTTCTGTGGCCGTTTGCGGTCCGGTACGCCGCGCATCAGCTCAACCTCTGGCCCCGTGTCTCCTTGCCGGAGACCTCGCCCACACTGCTGTGGACGGGGAAGGTTGGCGATGCGTCGCGTTTCCGGGTCTGGGGTGCTCGTGCCTTTGTCCGCGATACCACCGCGGACAAGCTCTCCGCCCGCGCTGTTCCCTGTGTCTTCCTTGGCTTTGTCCCTGACGCACCTGGTTGGCAGTTTTACCACCCCGCCTCGCGCCGTGTCTTTGCGTCTCAGGACGTCACGTTCGACGAGTCGGTTCCTTTTTACCGTCTCTTCCCCTACCGCACTGCCTCGCTCCCCCCCCCCGCCGCTCTTCCTCGCTCCAGGTGCTCCCCAGGTAGACCCCCTCCCCGCTCCCGGTCCTGCTCCTTCAGGTGTTTCTCAGGTAGACCCTCCTCCCTTGACTGCGCCGGTTGAGGTCACTGGTGACTCAGGTCCTACTGAGAGTGGTCCTGCTCGGGGTGCTCCTTCTGGGGGTGCTGGGCCTGGGGGTGCGGAGCCTGGGGGTGCTGCGCCTGGGGGTACTGAGCCTGAGGGTGCGGAGCTTGAGGGTGTGGAGCCTGGTGGTGCTGAGCCTGAGTGTGAGGGGTCTGGGGGTGCTGAGCTTGGCGGTACTGCCGCTGGAGGTTCGGGAGCTGCTGGAGGGCCTAGTACTGGTGGCGCTGGAGCTGGAGGTTCTGGAGCTGCTGAGGGTGCTCGCGCTGGAGGTTCTGGAGCCGCTGGAGGTACTGGTGCTGAGGGTACTGACACCGGAGGTTCTGGAGCCGTTGGGGGTGCGGGCGCTGAGGGTTCTGAGTCTGCTGTTGCGCGGTCTCCTTGGAGTGGCCGCCTTCGTCCACGTGTGCCTCTCACCCCACAGCAGCTGCAGGACTGGTACGGTCACCGTCAGCGTCGCGCTACTGGAGCTAGGAGTCGTGCTGGTCCTTTGTCTACTGGAGGTGCTGGAGTTGCTGGTTCTGGGGGTGCTGCTGCTGGAGACACTGAGGTTGGAGACCCTGGGGCTGGAGGTGCTGGTTCTGGGGGTGCTACTGCTGGAGACCCTGAGGTTGGAGACCCTGGGACTGGAGGTGCTGGTTCTGGGGGTGCTGCTGCTGGAGACACAGAGGTTGGAGACCCTGGGACTCGAGGTGTCGGCTCTGGGCCTGGAGCTTCTGGAGCTGCTGGAGGTACTGGAGCTGCTGGAGGTACTGGAGCTGCTGGAGGCACTGGAGCTGCTGGAGCTGCTGGTACTGGTGCAGCTGCGCCGTCACGACTGTTCTTCGCTCCGCCGTCTCCGTCGTCTCTGCCGCCGTCTGCCTCTGTTCTTCGTCAGGTTCTTACTCTTCCGTCGTCTACTGGTCTTCCGTTACAGTCTGGCTCACCGCTGCCTGCTCCTTCTCCTTACACTGAGCTGACCGGTAGTCCAGCTGAGCGTCGTGAGCCTGCGTCGCGTCCTGTTTCGCCTGTTCGTCCTGGTCGTACCGGTCGTCGTGTTCCTCGTTCGCGCCAGCCGGCTGTCCCCGGCGCACACCTCGTAGTCCGTCGTCCTTCCTCTGCTCCGCAGCCTGTTCCTCTGCCGTCTCCCCCTGCGTCCTCTCTGCCTGCCGTTCCGGACCCTGAGTCTGACCGGTTTCGTACTAAGCACCCTACTGTCACGCGTCTCCTAGCCACTGTTGTCACTGACCCGTCGTTTGAGTCTACTGCTGCGTCTGCCTTGGTCGCTGAGCTTGTTGACTTTGCTGCTGCCTGTCGTCTAGACTACACCGCTAGTCTTGTTGCTGAGTCTGAGTCTGTCTGTCCTCCGTCCGTCGGGGGTGAGTGTGCTCTTAGCACGGACGTCCTTGAGGACAGGCAGGAGGAGTTCCAGTGTCTTGCTGCTGCTTTACCTCATCTTGTGTCCTCGCTACTTGCCCCTGAGGGAGACCCGGATGCAGTAGACATCCCCACTCCGCGCTCTTACGCAGAGGCGATAGAGGGTCCCTACTCCTCTCAGTGGCAGGCAGCCATGGACGCAGAGATGGCTTCCTGGAAGTCCACAGGCACCTACGTTGACGAGGTTCCCCCACCTAGGGCGAACATCGTCAGTGGCATGTGGATTTTCAGGGTGAAGCGGCCGCCGAGTTCTCCGCCTGTCTTCAAGGCGCGTTACGTGGCTCGAGGCTTCAGTCAGCGAGAGGGAGTTGACTTCTTCCAGACCTTCTCCCCCACCCCGAAGATGACCACTCTTCGGGTGCTGCTGCACGTTGCTGCTCACCGTGACTACGAGCTTCACTCTCTTGACTTCAGCACAGCTTTCCTGCAGGGCAGCCTGCACGAGGAGATCTGGCTGCGCCGCCCCCCGGGCTTCACTGGGTCGTTCCCTCCTGGTACCCAGTGGAGCCTCCGGCGGCCGGTCTACGGTCTCCGCCAGGCGCCACGTGAGTGGCACGACACACTGAGGACTACGCTTGCGGCTCTTGGGTTCGCGCCTTCTACTGCTGACCCGTCGTTGTTTCTGCGCACCGACACTTCACTGCCGCCGTTCTACATCCTCGTGTACGTCGACGACTTGGTTTTTGCCACTGCTGACACTGAGGCTCTCGCCCACGTGAAGTCGGAGCTGCAGAAGAGACACACATGCACAGACTTGGGTGAGCTGCGCAGCTACCTTGGCTTGCAGATCACCCGAGACAGAGCACGTCGCACCATCACCTTGACTCAGTCACACATGGTGCAGCAGGTCCTTCAGTGCTTCGGCTTCACCTGGTCTTCAGCACAGGCCACTCCTCTGGCTACAGGTCACACGCTCTCAGCTCCACCTTCGGACGAGTCCGTAGAGCCGAGTGGTCCTTACCCAGAGCTAGTCGGCTGCCTCATGTACCTGATGACTTGCACTCGACCTGACCTCGCGTACCCTCTTGGTCTCCTGGCTCGCTACGTGGCTCCTGGTCGGCACCGACCTGAGCACATGGCTGCTGCTAAGAGGGTACTGCGTTACTTGTGCAGCACATCAGGCATGGGGCTAGTGCTTGGAGGGACGAGCCCAGTTGTCCTCACTGGGCACTCAGACGCTTCTTGGGTTGACGACCTGGCTACTCAGCGGTCGTCACAGGGTTACACCTTCAGCCTTGGCTCTGGTTCAGTTTCGTGGCGTTCTACACGCTCGTCTTCAGTTCTCGGCTCCAGTTGTGAGGCTGAGATCTACGCCACCGCCATGGCTGCACAGGAGTTACGCTGGCTCACCTACTTGCTGACTGACTTGGGAGAGCAGCCTCGTTCTCCTCCAGTGCTGTACGTTGACAACAAGGCAGCCATTGCCTTGTGTGAGGAGCACAGACTGGAGCACAGAACGAAGCACATTGCTCTGCGTTACTTCCTGGCTCGAGAGTTGCAGCAGCGAGGCCAGCTTCGTCTTCGCCACGTGGCCACTCGGGCGAACACTGCTGATATATTCACCAAGGCACTTCCGTCTGGTGATCATCAGCGCTTTTGTACTCTGTTGGGCCTTGTGCCTACGCTTCCACACTTGCTGTAGTCTCTGCTTGTATTGTGATCTGTACATATATATGTATATGCATGCTGGTTCTTGCTAGGTAGCCATCACTGTACTGTTATTGCTGCATATATATCTCTGCATGTGAACTGGCCCTGTGGCCCTTTGCTTGTGCTCGGAATGCGTGGTGACGTTGTGATCCACCCTGAGCTTGTTTTGCTTCTCTTGACTGGTCGTTTGACCCCTTGTTCTCCCCCACTTTGCCTATGGGGGTGTGTCAAACTATATGTGCTGCATATTGTCTAGGCTGTAGTGGGGTAGCCCATATGGGGTACAACCCAATTAGGGTTTACTACTTGTACTCCTGCATCCTGTTAGTTCACATCATTCCTGCTGCTAGATTCTAACAAGTGCAGCATCAGGGCTCTTGCTAGGATCTGAGGACGTCTGATTTATCAGACGGGTCCCCCAGGCAAAAAAAATGTTTTGTCTGATCTAGATTCGAAAATCAGATGAATACAAAAAACTAAGTCTGAAAATCAGACCATCAGACCAAAATGGTCTGATAACGAGAGCCCTGTTCAGCATTGCAATATGGACCGCAGCAGGAGCCGATACGAAGAAAAGATATTGGCGGGCTTGCTCAACAAGCGATGTCATATCAAGGTAAAACGAGTGCAAAGCTGGATATTGCACAATCGTACGTATTTTGCTTGTTATTTTCAGAATGCTAGTATTGTTTGCTTTTGATGTGAATTCTTGGTTTGCTATTTTTGCCTTTCCTAATATAATACGAGCATTATCTATGGCTGCAGATGGTCACAAAGGCAGCTGGAAACAACTTTGATAAGATGATCACATCATTCTCGATGGTGTCTTCAAATGTAAGTACAATGTATAGAACGTGGAAATCAGAGCTTCTAGCTTACATGTTGGTAGTTTTTTTTGTTGTTGTTGTTGTTGTTGTTGTTGTTGTTGTTGTTGTTGTTGTTGTTGTTGTTGTTGTTGTTGTTGTTGTTGTTGTTGTTGTTGTTGTTGTTGTTGTTGTTGTTGTTGTTGTTGTTGTTGTTGTTTTTTTTTTTTTTTTGTCGTTTTTTTTTTCTTTCAATTTATGCCATTATGGTTTTTGGAAGTTTCTGGTATACAATTAGCAATATACCATAGTTGTTATGCTCATCATTGTTCCAATAAGAGGAGCATAATGGAAGACTGAACGAAAACAACAAGCGTACAACAACCACCGCTCCTCCAAATATTCCAGCAACCCCAGTAAAAATCAATCAGCGTCGTAGTGATCTTTAATGTCCTCAGCTTTTATTGTGATCTTTTTATTTTCCCTTTTGTCAAGTTTTGTTTTTCCTTATACATAATATGTTTGACTATTTTACTACGCTCATTAATTTGATTTAATCGAATGCATTTGTCACCTTTTGTCCAACATTTTTTCACGCAACTTTCGGTTTTCTTTTGAAGCGCATGTAAGATCAATTATTATTAGCTTTGGAGGCGAAACAAGAAAGGAAATAAACGAGGCGATGGAGTCTAGGAAGGAGTGGGAGTAAGATGATGAAAGATGTTCAAGGAATATTAGAAGAACCAAGGAAATGAAACGAGTGAAACACGAATATGTTGTGAATATGTCGTCACATAGAAACGCGTGTGTTGGCAACACGTCTGATCGTCGCCCGCGCCTTCTCATGGTCTCCCTCCTCATGGTGCTTTCAACAGAACTAGGCAAGAATGATTGAAAGGAGAGGGGTTTCACTAGCAGCAGTTGGGGTACATATAGCAAACCCTAACTGGGTTGTACTCGCTATAGAGCACCCCACTACAGGCTAGACAATAATAACATTCTGACACACCCCCATAGCCAAAGTGGGGTGTAATCAGTACAATGAGCAGGCATAGCAATAGTTCACAATTATAAGCAAAGCTAGAGGTGATCATAGAGGGCAAGTGAGGAGGAGGAGAAACTGTGAGGGCGAGAAGATGAAAGGCGCCGACTGAAGCTGCAGACACACGGGCAACAGGAGCGGCGCGCACAGTGGCTACCGAGCGCACGAGGGCACCGGACTACGGGAGTATCTGGCTCCGCGGCTACGACGAGCACACACAGGAGCAACGGACCCACAGGCGACTGGCGAAGCAGGCTCGCTGGGCTACCGAAACGCGCGAGGGCATCCGGACTACTGGCGCTGCTGGCGTCACGACGGCTACCTCCACGCAACCTCCCCCGACCGTCCCACGCCCCTCTCACACACCCCCTGCTGACACCCTAGCTCCACTTCCACGGCACCCCCCTTAAACCCTAACCCTCGGCTCCCACACATCCACCCCCCTCAGCGACAGCTGCAGCAGTGGGAGACGGAGGAGGAGGAGCAGGGGGAGGAACTCACAACCGACACCCCCATAGCCGCCACCCCCACACTCTTCACCCCCAAACCCTAATTCAGGAGAACGGGCTGTAGGAGGGGTGGGGCGCCGGTAGAAGCACGGGGGACAGTGGAGAGGGCAGGAGCAGCGAGGAACGGGCCGCCCACGGGCCTGGTATAGCCGCCCGAACCGCGCGCAGGCGGCCCGAGCCGCGCGCGGGCCTGGCGCTTCCCGTACGGGCCGCGCGCGGGCCTGGCGCAGCCCGTACGGGCCGCGCGCAGGCCTGGCGCAGCCCGTACGGGCCGCACGCCGGCTGTACGGGCCGCGCGCAGGCCACGACGGGCGACGAGGGGGGGGGGCCGCGGGCGACGGGATCGCGGGGCCGCGGGCGACGGGATCGCGGGGCCGCGGGCGACGGGATCGCGGGGCCGCGGGCGACGGGATCGCGGGGCCGCGGGCGACGGGATCGGGGGGCCGCGGGCGACGGGATCGGGGGGCCGCGGGCGACGGGATCGCGGGGCCGCGGGCGACGGGATCGGGGGGGGGGGGGGGGGGGGGCGCGTGCGACGGAATCGAGGGGCCGCGGGCGTCCCCCACGGTAGGAAACCGCCGCGCGCCTCGGGGCGCACGGCGGGGAGAAAACCGCCGCACGCCCCGAGCGCGCGGCGGGATGAAAAATCCGTCGCACGCCACGGGGCGTGCGACACAAAGAGTAGTAGGAGCAGCGGAAGCAGGTGGTGGGGCCCACCCACAGGATCGACCCATCTGGATCGTCCTGCTCTGATAGCATGTCAACAGAACTAGGCAAGAATGATTGAAAGGAGAGGGGTTTCACTAGCAGCAGTTGGGGTACATATAGCAAACCCTAACTGGGTTGTACTCGCTATAGAGCACCCCACTACAGGCTAGACAATAATAACATTCTGTCAGGTGCTCCACACTCCAAGAATCCACGTAATGGCCAGCCACAAATCTGGTCGAATTACTCTACGTTCCTCTTGATCACGCGTCTGTTCAAACTCATCAATCAACCAGGGCTCTCGTTATCAGACCAATATGGTTTGATGGTCTGATTTTCAGACCTATATTTTCTGTTTCATCTGATTCGTAAGACAAAGAAATATTTCTTGTCTGATTAGTAAAACTTGTAATATTTTTTTGTTTGATTTTTTAGAGGAAGCGTAACACTTCATATGAAAATTCATATAGCGAGCATTTTTCCGTCTGACACCCCCCCCCCCCCCCCTTTCTCCCCTGCCCCCTTACCCAGCCGCCTCCCCTCCCCTTCTCGTAACCCCTCTCCTTCCCCAATTTCGCGCACCTTCCCCTATCAGCCCAGCATTTCACCCCCCCGCCCCCCCTCCGACCTTTCTTCAAGGTTTCGATCCTCCTGCCTGCAGCCCCATGGCAGCCCTCGAATCCCAAGTCCCTGTCAACGGAAGTAGTGTTTGGCTCCGTCCTCGCTTAGGCGGAGCTGACCGCGGGACCGCGGGAGGGCCGCGGGAGGGCCGCGGGAGAACCGCGGAACCGCGGGAGGACCGCGGGACCGCGGGAGAACCGCGGGGCCGCGGGACCGCGGGACCGCGGGAGAACCGCGGGGCCGCGGGACCGCGGGACCGCGGGAGAACCGCGGGGCCGCGGGAGGCCGTGGGGCAACCACGAAACCACGGGGACCGCGGTGGCCGCGGGTGGACGACCGGGGGCCATGGGGGCCGCGGGATACCCGGTCGACCGGGACACCCGGGCGACATGGGCGAAGGTCGCTGGGGGTGGTTTCTGCGAGGACGACCTTGGGGGTAGTACCCTGAGGTCGACGTGGCTGATGGGCGCCGTCACGAGCGGAGTGTCTGCGCTGGGCATGTGACGGGGAGTTGGGCGCCAACCAGCTGCACGCACCTGCGAAGCAGGTGCACCGTTGTCCCGCGGATGCAACGCTGTGCAGCCGACATACTGCAGCGTTGGCGCACCGCGGACTTACAATGTTGGCAAGCCGAGACTCTGCCCTGCTGGAGCGCGGTCGACCAAGTCGTGCTGGCATGCGGTCGACCGTGCTGCGCTGGCAGTCGACCAGCAGCCTTGCTAGGTCTGATGTAGTATGTGGTGCCAATGTTGATTCAATCATTCCGGACTTTTGTTCTCATGTTTTCCTAGTGAAACTCTTGCCAATTTTCCCCGTGAACTAGCAAGCTGTCAGAAGTACTAGGAGAAAGTTTAGAAGCAGAAAGAGGGTTTGGACTAGCAGCAGTTGAGATACAAATAGCAAACCCTAGATTGGGCTGTACTCGCTATAGAGTACCCCACTGCAGGCTAGACAAATACAACATTCTGACACAAGCAATGTTAGCACTTGGAAACGACTAAGGAACGAACGAACGCTACGATCACTCCTACCCCGTGCCTAGCCCGTAGTCTAGCTCCCGTTGCACGAGTTATTTCCACAGTCCCCACCTTCCTTCAGTCTTTCCCCCTCATCCCACGTGCGCTCCAACTCACTCACCCATAGCCCATCATCACCCAACTTTCCACATGCCTGTCAGCTAGCGCGCTGCCAGCCCCGCACCAGCGGCGTTATCATTAGCTTCGAAACAATAAACAAGTTGAATCGTGCTCCACTAGTGTTCTAGTTAAGTCAGACTATGCAAAATTCATCTTCTGAAAAATCAGACTTAGCTCCAACATTCGTCCAGGAAATCAGACAAAAAAAATTGCTCGTCTGAACGTCAGACGAAATGATTTTTTCAGTTTGTACTTTCAGACGGGCCTAAAACCTAGCAAGAGCCCTACAATCAACCATGCGACCAAGAGCTTCCGATAACGCAACTGCAACGTTGCGATCATGCCTTGGTCTAAGGGTTGAACGTGCGATGTGCAGTTCAGTGGGGGAAAAATCACCCTCACATTGGGAAGCTCGACAATCCAGATGTCGATCCGCCAATATTTGCACTTTCCCTCGACGACGTTCACATTGTGCGAACTAGTGTTGTCCACTAGGATAGAGATCTTGCTGTCCTTATACTTCATGTCGCCATCCACCGCGTCCACCCACAAGGTGGAAATCTATACATGAAATTGAACACCGTGAAGAGGTTAGAGCTTGTATCATAAACCGTGACACATGATACCCATGCATGTTTATATATTACAACACATGAAAAAGCATGGAGCCAAGCTTACCTCTGAAAGCATCTATCCACTGTTGTTCGCACGGTACTATGCATAGTCGTCCAATGAAAATCATCCCTGGATGAGGTCGGACGCAACGCATTTCCGATCACAATCAGTTTCATCAAGTCCGTCCCATCGTCGTTGCAACACAATGCAAGGGTGAAACGCTCTTTGTGAAGCTTTCCTCCGGCCACCGACTCGTTCGCATACGTTCGACGTGGTTCTCGACCAAATAATTCCGATCTCGTCCATATTGTAAACATCCGATGGCTCATAACCGAAATCCTTCAAGAGTCTAGGAACGGTCTTTCTAGCTAGGCCTATGGATTTGGCATTGGCGTCTTTTGCCTCACCCTTTCTTTGATAGAATGACATGCCCATACATGCTAACGCACGACAAAGCTACCCTGGAAAAACCATGAAGTCACTTGGAAGGCGCATGGCTTTGAAAAATGCCGCTTATTATTGAAGAAGTATGTGAATTGTTATTGGCAAATTGGCAGCAGTTTGCCTAATTGCCCACGCATGCAACCTAGCCTCTAGCATTGGGAAATTGCCTTGATGGAGGTGATTTTGGTCCATTTTGCAGAGTTCTTAAGAATTATAGAGACAGTGGTATGGCATGGATGCTTCTTAAAC